CCGCTGCGCTCTGCACCAGGCCGGGGGGTTCCAGGACGACGCCGCCAACGAGTAAGGCGTTTGTTTCGTCTTGAAAAGTGGTGGGGTGTAAAGTAGAAGCAAATGGGGGTGTAGCTGCTAGTAGGAGAGTCTCCTTTTCTGGTGCGAAACCAGAAACGCCTTTCTCTGCAGCCCGTCTGAAGTTCAAGTCCCTTTGGTTGTCATTAAATAGGGAAGAAGAGCTTAAAAATGCTCGTGGCTGAGTTTCTGAACAGCTGCTACGTAAGCCAAGAAAGTGAAAGGTCATCACCCTGTAAACAGGGATTTCTGTTCAAACGTACTGCGTAGTAAATAAACCGAAACTAAAGGTCTGGTAGGAATGGGACTGCGTGAGGTATATTTATTTATACACAACACTATGAGCTTGATGCTTCCTTCCTGTTTACCTTCACATGTTAGCTGCTATGATGCTTGACCAGGCTTAAGGAGAGCTATCTTTATGTTTGTATTAATATAAAGAAGCTTTGCAAGTTGCCTGAAATTTGCTGGAAATGAGTGTAGCAAGTTACTTTTTTTAGTGAGGTACAAAATCTGGTTTTGAACTTCAGATATTCCCCCTTGTCTTTCAAAACGTTCGATTATAAGGGTCAAAATGCATCCCATTTTACCAAAAGAGAGAAAAACTTGAAAGATTTTGCAATGGTTTGGGTTGGAAGGGACTTTAAAGATTATCTAGTTTCAACCCTCCTGCCATGCAAGCACTCATTTTCGGCTCATGTTGAGCTTCTCATTGACCAACACCCCCAAGGCCTTCTCCTCAGGGCTGCTCTCAACCCATTCTCCGCTCAGCCTGTATTTGTGCTTGGGGTTGTCCTGACCTGTGTGCAGGACCTTGCACTTGGCCTTGTTGAGCTTCATGAGGTTCATACAGGCCCACCTCTCCAGCCTGTCAAGGTCCCTCTGGATGGCATCCAGAATATCTGCTCCAGGCAACAGCATCAAGAAGCTGCAGAAAACTGCCATGGCCCTGTTGTGTTAAATTTGATCATAATGCTTCTCACCCCATAGGTTTGCAAGCAACATAAAACATGGACCTGCATTTGGATGCTGCAGTGCATTTGACATTCAGAAGTGCTTGGGCCACTTTAGTCCCTGACCAAAGTCAAAACATGAATACAAATTTCAAAGAGGGATATCTTGTGCAAAATGCTGTTTTTAAATAGAGGCTCACTGGTTCAGTGAGTAGGATCCCCACCCCAAGTTAGCAATGCAGGTGCTTAAACAGCAAATCTCCATGGGGCCGTATGTAGAAGTAATCAGATTTGTTGACAGCTGTTGAAAAGGTCACAGAAAGAGCAGTAGAATGCAGACTTCTGGCTTCTAATGTTAGCTTCTTAAGTGCTAAGGCCAATAAAAGCTTGGGTTCCACTAAGCTTTTGCTGTGTGAATTGATAGAAGCTTGATTGAACAACAGATTGCTTTTTATTATTATTTATTTTATGCATTATTTTAAGTGTATTTGAGATGCACTTGAGCATCAGTTTCTAGATTCATTGTCCTGCAGCTGATTTCAGAAGGAGTCAGGAGACCTCTTAGACTACCTCTTTCAGCCAGCTGCTTCCCCTGCAAATGGTTATGGTTAGTCAGGGTGTGTAGGATGCAGCTGTCTCTTTCAGGTTCTAGCTGGACCAGGGTCTGCAAACTTTCTTTGCTTTGATAAAATGGTTGTATTAGACTTTATGATTAAAAGCTGAAACATGTATCTTTTTCTCCATATCCCAATAGTACTGTTTAAAGTATTTTTCCAGTAACACTATTAATGGTCAAGTTGAATATTACCTGCCGTCTTGGTTTCTTAGGATGTCTTAGCATTAATACTTCTTCAGCTTTTGCTCAGCTTTCACTTGGCTGTCAGGCTTCTTTCAAAGGCGGCTGCCCATTTTCCTACTTCCCCCTGCCCTCCCTCCCTGCCTTGCCCCTTCCAACTGGCAGAGAGAAGTATGTATCTGAAATTTTTCAAAAGCATTACTTGTGTGCTAAACAGATATATTTTTGTTTGTTTGTTTGTACTTACGTTAAGAACTCTGTATTTATTTCTTAAATACTTTGCTTTTAATTTTGTGTGTCCATCTCTTCTGTGATGTTTTCGTTTGGACGTTGCTAAAGTCTTGCTTCTATTCAGAACTAATTATAGCAACTCCTTGGATCATACAAGGTATTAATGTAAAATACCAGTAAGGGGGAAAACTGCATCTAGTTTATGGTCTTGTAGAGTAGATCTGGGTTTCCAAACTGTGCAGATAAATCTGCACGATAGACTGGAAGTCCGTTGAATTACACTGCTGGTTGGAAGTGGTGCAACTCATAATAGAGTTGGCGTTGCTGTAGCAAATTTCAGTGGTGGTATGTCTTCTTAATGTGCTCCCAGTCCTCGTTGTCTTCCTGTTTTCTGTAACCACAATAGTATTCACTGTTGATCAGCCTGTTGAGGATGTCATTGGCACAAGCATCCAAGGGCATTTGGTACTTTCTGAAAAGGCCTGAAAGCTGCTGTTTTCTCTTCAACTGTTGACTTCTTGTCTGGAGAATTTAGCTTAATGAAAGTATCTGTGAGGGAGAAGAAATAAAGGCAGACTACCGTGAAGCATTAGGAGATCTTCTAAGACTGTTTTTTCACAAAGAGGTCTCAAACCAAAAATAAGAAGCGGAGATAGTGAGGACTGAAGAAGATAAAGTCTTAAGGAAGTCGTGTTAAACTGTGTTAGACACAATTCAGTTGGTAGGTCACGTTGATAATGAACAAGTAATACTTCCACGTATGGCCTCTAGTATCTCTTATTCCACTACTTTGTCTCTTGGCAGTCATTCCTTCCTACTGCTTTAAAGATAACTATTGTAAGAGGCTGGCTATTGCTATGTCTGTTTACTCTGTCTTCTCTTCACTGGCTTGTTCACAGACAAATGTTCTCTGCAGTAGCGTATTTGAAGAGCTCAGCTAACAAGCTATTTTAGTGTTCATCTGAGACAGGAGTGTCTGTAAACCATTTTCAGTGATGCAGGATTGAAGCACAGAGAAAAACAGCCCTTGCAAGGAGTCTGGCAAAGCAAGGAGCAAAAGGCATTATCTCCTGAGTTTGCAGCAGCAGGAACTGTTAAATGCTAACTAGATCTCTAGTTTCTTTAACTTAACACATCTTAAAACTTTCTGCTTCATAATGCCTGTATTTAGTATAATAACTTCTTTCAATTTGCTTTTTGTATCAGATTATCTCAGGAAGTTAAAATTGTGTGACTAAGATCACTAATTAACAGTGGTGTTGGATATAATGATGATAATCTTCTTTATGCCGTTTCCTAGATGTAGTGTCACCACAGGGAAGCACCAAGCAGCTAGCCATCAAGGCAACAGTTGAATTTCCTAAAATGTTGTCTTCTAGCTCTCTCCTATTGTCTGCAAACAAAGGTGAGACTGTATCTAGTACTAACCTCGAGGAAGCTTCAAAACCTTCTGCTGAAGACATGAGGACGTTCATGTCAAGAAAAACCGTGGTTGCATTTCCTCAGCGAGTAGTTGTTTCTTCCCCTGAGGAGGAAAACCTCACTACACGTGCAACAGAAGGAAGCTTGAAGAAAGAGTTAGTTGAGGAAGAAACTTCATCTTCATCCAGCTCAGATTCAGATTCTAGCTCAGATTCTGAGGAAGAAAATGATGGTGATGATTCAGAAGTTGCCATTAAAACCAAAGTTGAGTTTCCCAGACGAAATTCCATCTTTTCTGATAACATAGCAATAAAGGCATCAATGCTAGCAAAAGAGAACTTGTCCCCAAAATCTCACAAAGAGTATGTAGCTAAGAAGCTGCCAGGCAAAACAGAAACTGATGTGTCTCCCATCAGGCAAGCTACGTTTTCTAAAACATCAGTCAGCCATAAAACATCAAAATCCAAAGTGAAAGAATCCAAAGTGAGAGACTCCAAAGTAAAATCAACTCCAAAAGCAGCAGATCCACAGAAGCTGGTCTTAGAACCACACATGGTTGAAAGCCAAGACCTGACCGAAGTCACCCATAAATCTGATTATTTGGAGGAAAAGTCCATTGGAACCCAAGTAGCAGCTATTCAGCTGAAAGCTTCATCAGTGACTCAGGAAGGCAAAAAGCAAAAACTGGTATCCAGGGAAGATGAGAAAAAGGTGAAGGAGGCACAGGAGTCGGAAGCAGAAGTAGTAACCAGTCCTAAACTGGAAGAAGAGGCTTCTGGAAGCACAGTGTTGGTGATGGGCACTACAGCAAAGGAGGAGACCATTCAGGAAGCAGGATTGCAGACTGGAGAAAGCACAATAGAGGGTACACCTTTAAATTGTTTGAACTGTATTGATTCTTCTGGGCTAGGGTTTAGCTTTTTTTAAAGGGTTTCCAAATCTTCTCTGTTCATGATTCTCTGATCTTTATACTGAAGCTAGCCGTGTAACAGTGACTTTCTGGAAGACAAATTCTTGTTCATTGCTAATTGTTGTAAAAGCTCAGTAATATTCAGTTACCGGTTATGCTGTGAAAGGAAACAGTCTTTGTTTCACTTTATAATTTCATAAACCAGTTTCTTAGAAAATGAAAACAGGATTTTTTCCACTGTGAGCAAAATTCTGGGTTTTATATGACAAAACTTGTTTTCCCTCTGGTCTTTTATTGGAAGGATTTTGTAGTTGCCTTTCTCCTGAGCCAAATTTGATGCCATCTACTTTTTGCTTAAACTCTGCTGTCTGTTTTTTTTTTTTTTTTAAATCTTGCGGTGTTTCAGACTTCAGTAGACTTCAAGAAATCATAGTGTAATACCAAAAACAGGGGTTGATTCTGAGATTGGTACGTTGTGAGTTGTTCAAGTAGCACAGAGTTGACCTTATAACCCGGTTTTTGTAGTCAGTTGGAAGGAGACAGTGATATATTTTAGCAAAGAGCATTGTGTACCATATAATCATCTCCCTGGCTGTATTTTACTATTTAACTTCCTCCTCTTATTTACTACCAGTCCTGTTACCTTACCTACTGATCTCATTCTGTGTATTTCAGTAGAAAACGCCCCTCCGTGGTGGCTTACCGTTCTTGCCTTTCAACTTAAGGCGGCATACCCTTCTTAAACCCCCCCCTTCTGGTTGTTGCTTTGAATTAAAGAATTTGCCTACTTGGAAGTAAAAGCAGCATAATTGTTAAGCTGGTTGGATATCATCTTTCAAGTGATACCCTTGCAGAAAAGGACCTGGGGGTCCAGATGGACAGCAAGTTGAACATGAGCCAGCAACATGCCCTTGCAGCGAAGACCTGCTAACCTGGGCTACATTAGGAGGAGCGTTGCGAGCAGGCTGAGGGAGGTGATCCTTTCCTGGTGAGATGCACCTGGAGTGCTGTGTTCAGTTCTGGGCTCCCCAGTATAAGAGAGATGTGGAGCTACTGGAGAGAGTCCAGCAAAGTGCCACTAAGATGATGAAGGGACTGGAGTATCTCTCCTGTGAGGAAAGGCTGAGAGAGTTGCGTCTGTTAAGCCCAGAGAAGAGGAGGCTCAGGGGTGATCTCTTCAGCTCATATTTTGGTCTAAGAGTCGGAAGCTAAGCTTAGCTTCTTCCCTGACCACAACTCAAATGGTAAAATGCAGCACTGTTTGCAAATGATACTTTCATTTACTTGTTCCTCCTTGCAGTCAGCAGCAGAAGCTTTCATTAAAAAAATAAAAAATATAAATTTCAGAAGGGCTGTTTGTAGTTATCTACAGATGATGTTTTTCTCCTCATTCATCCACAGTGGAGTTCTAGATGCTTAAGCATTTTTTTTTTCCCCACTGAAGCTGATATGAAGGCCCAAAAAATGAGTTCAATGAACTTCAAGTATGAGAGGGAGGACCCGGTCTTAAAATGTCCTAATGATTCAAGGTGAAGATTATGACCCATCGAAGATATATGAAACAGCCTCCCCCGCTCTGATGCTGTAAATCCAAAATAAGGTTAAGCCTGCGTGACAAACTTTTCCTGCAGGTCTGTATCAATGGGGCGATAATACCACTGTGCCTCAGACCTATAATCGTCATAACCACACCAGCAAAACCCTTTCAGGTAGGACTGGGCTTTGCTGAAAGTGGCACTTTTGCTGTTGAGCTCTTCTTGCCCCATGGAGATGGTGAGGCTGAGGGCTCTGCTGCAGTGGCTGCAGGAGAGGTGAGGGTTAGTACAGGAAAGTTCACACCGTTTTACTGCTGGTGTAGTGTCTTTGAGTGCCAGGGGTAGCAAAGAGTCAAACCTAGCTGCATTGTGTTCAGCAGTGTCACTGGTATCTCCAGGCGTATCTTGCTCTCCCCTTTGAGGCCTTCTTTGAGAGCAACTACTGCTTTTCCGTGTTTAATGTTCACCGTTAATGATAATACCTTCTGGAAGCTGTAATTCTGTCCTGTTTGTTTGCTTGTTCTTTTGTTCATCTGCACACTGCAGCAAGCACACTGAAGATGCAAAAGCAATTTTTCCCATTACAAACCTGGATGTTAAGGTGATGTCATCCACTTTGTAAAGCAGGCATGCTAAGGAGTCAGCAAAAATTGCTGACTTTAACTGCTAAGTAGCAAAGTAGTAGCATGATAACTCAGAAATATTCCTCTGATTCATTTCCGAAGAACATCCTGTGAGATGCTTGGTCTTAAAGAGAGAAAGCATAGATGAAGTCTGAAGTATGGCGAGGATGAACTCAGGGATAAATTTTTCCTTCAAGAAGCCAAGTACAGTGTATTCGGGCAGGAAAAATGAGATTCCATCTGCTTTTCTTCCTGAGCATCTGTCTCTTCATTTGGAACAACTGTCTTTTGCAGCTTGAATGTACACTTGCCTACGCTTGCCTGTTCTTGGGGCTATTTGCAGCAAAGAACTGCATCATCCGGCTTTTATCTCTGTCGTGTTGTCTCCTGTGAGCTGTCTCGGTAGGAATTGAGCTGTAGGCACAGGGATATTTCCTTTCATAGGTTATGCTGTTGTTTTGCTGAAAACCATGGCTTACTACATGGTGTTTTATAAGCAAGTCTTGCTCAGTGTTACAGATACATGCTCTTAAACTGGTAGCTTTGTGTTGCAATTACTATGTCATAGTTAAAGGGAAATTCTGGTGTTCAGTTGCTTGAGTTCTTGTATTTTTATTGCAGATAGTTGTATTACAAAAAGAAGCTTAATACTATCTAACCTAGACAATTACATACAAATTTGTATGACGAAGTTTTTCACTAGATTTATGCTTATTTCTTATTGTTAAAACTCTGGGTATATGACAATAAATTAATATTGGGAGTAAAGTTTTATTCCTTGCAGTTTCCTTGGTTGTAAAATCAGCCTGTAACAGGAACCTTTTATGTAAATAGTACTGCCTGAATTCACATAATATTCTAAAAGTGTAATAATTAATGTTGGCTTTAACATGAAGTAAGGAGTTCTGAATAACTTTTATTAGGTTATTCTTTTGGGAAGAAAAGCTGATACAAAGTTTAGAAGATTACATTTAGAAGAAAGGAAATGTACATCAAAGGATCTTGATATATTACTGTTCAGTGTAACCACATTTGAAATTAAACTGTGGAGATCTCAATAATTCCATCACTTCTCCCCATGGAAAAAAAAAAAATCAATCTTTAAAGTAGTTCTAATAGCTGTACCTTGTGGTCTGACATGATGATATATCACTTGTACTGCTGCATTGCCTGTCCTGGCTTGCTAAGAATGTCACCTACTGTTCTGGCCAGAGTGAAAACCAAGGCAACTATGAAAAAGCCAGGAAATGCAGACATACGTCTTTGAAATATAAATGAAGTGTTCTGCCCTATCCTTCCCCCAGCATTAGGTGGTAGTTTGGATTTGAAAACCTGTGCCGTATTGGATGACTTGTACTGCAAGTTCACCTACTGCAAAATCATGTGCTGCTTTAAGACTAGACAAGGTACCAGCAGAACTTAGTAAACTTATCCTTTTGTTATAGTTACTGACTTTTTTTTTTTAATCTTGGCTGGATGAGGGGTCTGACAGTACGTGAAAGCTGGCTCAGTAATTAAGAATATTGCCCTCTAGTGTGGCGTCCTTATAGTCACCAGTTACTGTTTGTTTTCACAGAGACCACAGCAGCTGCTGAGCCTGCTCCAGAAGAATTCGATAATTCTACCTACAAGAACCTTCAGCATCATGAATATAACACGTATACCTTTGTTGATTCTGTTGTGGTTCTCTCAAAATTCAGGCAGCCTCAGCCATCTTCTGGAAGACCATCACCAAGGCACTGAAAGAACCACATGGGAAACAAACGCCCAGGCAGAATGATCAATTGTCCTATTTAGCACTGTTGCTTCATCTGTATTATAAATTAGATAATAAATAAATGCATGATAACTTATGCTTGTGCTTTTGAACAGTTCTTCTTGGTTCTTGGAGTCCCTCACTTCTTGACTTTCATGAAGGAGCTGCAAATGAGTCATCACTGAACAAAAAATAGCATTTCTGCCTCTCAGTATGTGTTATTTGGTGATAGCTTAAAAAAGTCCTGACCTTTCAGTGTCTCCAAACTTTTGAAACTGACTGTTCTTTCATTACTGTGTTGAAGAACGTAATGGCCTTAGTGCATGTGCTTGTTCAGTATGTGCCGTGATTTTAATGGATATTGTTATCGCTGTCTTGCAGCGAGCTGTTCTCCTTGCACACAAACACATTCCCAGCTCTGAAGAGGTTATCTTTACTCTGGATTTGAAATTAAAATCATTGGCTGGAAACAGCATAAGAAGTATTTGTCTCCTGTGGCGAGAGTGTATGTTTTGTGTTAGTCGAGGAATGTAAGTTTATGTAATGCGATTGAAACATCTCAAAACCTCTGCTGTTGTAAAGGGAGAACATAGAAATTTATTTCATCTTCTTTTGGGGGTTCTAGCATCCAGGTTCTGCAGTAATTGAAATAATTTAAAATGTGAGAGAATCTCAGTGGGCAGTTCTAATGAACTATACTACATTGATTAAACTCTGAGAAATAACATATTTCTATGAGTAGAATCACTCGAATGTTATTTTAAATGTGATGAAAATAGTATTACAGTAAAGTCAGTTCCTGGTACTAATTGTTCAGTGGGACTACGTTTCAGTTCCCACTTTTTTTATTTCCCACAGTAAAAGTTAAGATTACTCTCTAGCTTCACTCTTGCTCTGCAGAAAATGTGAGAAATGAGGCACTTCTCAATATATGTTATCAGCAGTTACAGTTGGTCTCAGTAAATTTTGTGTTTCCATCCTATTAGTAACAGTCTTCTGCCCTCTGGGAAAACTGCCTTGATGACCACCAGCTGTTGTGGGTTTAGTTCCATTTTGGCTTTCTTTTTTTTCTTTCCTCTCTCGAGTTAATTGGTCTTTGAGCAGTTGTACTTGCAATAACTCCAGCATTTTCCATCACCTGTCTGTATTCTTTCAAGCAACAGAATACGCAAGATCAAAGGGAAAACAGAGTCAGCTTTAGGAGTCTATCTGGATATTGGACCCAAATCCCTGGGTGCAATTAGTAGAACAGATATTTTATACTCTAACTTGGCAAAAATGTGGTAAGAAGGATCAAGAGGCCTACATCAATCTGCTGTGTAGAACTTTAAGTCAGAAACCTCTGGCAAGCAACTTTATTGTCCCGTAAAAACTAAAAAGCTTATTACTGACTCTAGGAAATTTAAAAATCAGCAAATGTATAAATCCACATGCTTAGGAATAAAGAGCAGAAAGTCGCTTTGAGACACTGGTGGTACCACATACCCTGTACTTGTAAAAGGGGAAGAAATTTGCTGTTAACATGAAAAACATGAAAGAACAAGGAAAAGGATCTTCCTTTGTTAAGGGCCCACCGGAGAGCCCCAGTAAAGCTGCTGTGTTTTGTTACTAACTGCGACTCGGTGTAGTAACCTGAACCCTGCAGCTCAGATCTGCGTTGGCGCTGAACTGTGTTCCTGTTTGGTTGGTGATTACGGAAAGAGGCTGCAGATTGTCAGAATCTAAACAGTGAAAGTTAAATGTAGTCCATGAACATGCTTATGTTTTCATGAAATCTCACAGTAGCTGTGACTGTCAGCTGTTTGTGGAACTAGGCTTGCTCACCCAGTGCCCTTTTTATTTGGAAGGAGGGTTGATGTTACAAACACTGACTTAATCAGCTAAGGAAGAGCAGGTTGGAACAGAAGCGTGTCTTGTTTTTAGTCAACTCCTACGCTCTCCTTAGCTGCATTTCTAGCTAAGGAGGTTCTGAATTTGTATTTGGGCTAGGCATTTTGCTACTCTTGTTCCACAATTACAGCAAAAATTAATGGCAAGTGCCCTTCCTAGCTGTGTAATCCTGTCTCAGTGTCTTCCAGTGATCTTTTCTGCGCCTCTAAACTCAAGCTGGAAGACAAATAACTTCACAACTGGTACGTATAGCGTGTCTTGAGTTTGTTCTGTTCAGTTAAACAGTCTGCTACGGGAAGGGCAGATAATGTGAGGAAGGGCATCAAGACTTTTTCCCACTGTTGTGTTTTCCTGGACTTTTTTTTTTTTGGTACTTGGCTATTATCAGATGTTATTGTGTTTGAGTCAAAGGCTAGCATTTTAAATTTGCAGCAGGATGTGATACAAGTGTTCAAATTCTGTAATGTCAGTAACTTTGTCTTGCTCTGCTAGGCACTTGTCAGATACAGTCGGGGATCTTGTATTAAAGAATGTATAATCCAGGATATTAACATAATTTCTGGAAAACCTCAAATGTGAAAGAAATTCTCAGTTTAGTTTTTGTGAAAACCAGTTCTTCAGAAGCAGCATAAGCTTCAGAAGTGGGTTTTCAATGTAAATAGTGTGTTACCGTGGGAGTACATGAAAATGTAGAAAGTGGAATTCACTAACTTCTCATTAAAAAAAAGAAGCAACTACTTTCCTTCTCACAGGGAGTGGTTTTCAAACTTTAGGTCCTTCGAATTTTTTTTTTTTTAGTGTAGCAAACTCCTAATAAAATCACTTTTTATCATTTCCTTTCACTGAGATCCTTCAAAAGGAACTTAGGACCCTAAAAGGTTCTGGACAGCAGTTGAAAACTCACTAATCCAAGGTCCAGCAGTAGTAATGCAAGCAGAGTTTGTGGTGATCACTGTAGTTATTGCAAGATCAAGATTTTTTTGGTCCTCCTGGTACTTCCTTTGGCATCCAGTCACGATAAGCACTGCAATCTATAAGGCTGTCTTCAAGATTTATTTTAAATTTGGGAAATGAGACTTTTAACTGGATGCACTTACAGGTCTTCCACAGCACGTTCCCCACTTTCAACAACTGAAAACACCTTCAGTGCATCTTACTCTGGTTTCCTGTACACTCATGATGAAAAAATGGTGAGAAGTTTTAAGGGTATCTCAGGATGACGTGCAGTTCTTCCTTTCAGCTACTCATGGTAATGAGAACCTGAGCTGAGAACAGTCACCAGACTGTCCAAGTCTGCTGAAGATCCATAGAAGAGCAGGACTTCTCATCTTTACACTGATCAGAATCCCACGGCTCTTAAAGTGCTTTGGTGAGGTTTTGTGATGTTTTGGGAGGAAGAGTAGAAGCTGATGAGAGCAGCCGCTCATCTGCTCCAGTTTTAATTCCTGGTGAGTCCAATCAATGACTCTTGTGCAGTGAGTGATTGAGTAGAAAGCATGCTCACAGCATCCTGTAGCATCATAATGTTAGAATCCTGCAAATAATTGAGGTTGGTCGGGAAGTCTTGAGATGATCAGTCCTCTGCTCCGTAGCAGGTGTAATTAGATCAGGTTGTCCTGGACCTTGTCCAGTTGAGTTTTGAATATCTTCAAGGATGGACATCTTACAATCTCTCTGGTCACCTTCTCCAGCATTTGAACACCCTCATGATGTAAAAAACAAACAAAAACACAGCAAGCCAAACCTTTACCTGTTATCTAATTGGGATTTTTTGTTTTCTGACACTGATCCTTGCTACATGCCATGGACAAGCTTGGCTTTTTTCTTTTCTATACTCTCCAACGAGGTAGTTGAAGGTAGAAATAAGGTCCCTCTTCTTCACTTCCTCAGACCAGATAGCCTCCGTTCTTTCACACTCATCTTGTGCAACATACTCCAGGGCTGTTTGCATCCTTGCACGGTCACAGTGCACCCTCGGTGCATCCTACTTTGTTCTGTAGCAACGCAGGTTGCCCAAGTGGTCTCTGACTGTCTTCCTCCCCATAGCTTATGCTTCAAGGTGTAGCATGCTAGAAGGGGGCTGATGTTAATTTTCCTAATTTTTAGCGTGGAATCTTCTGTAGTGAATGGGAAGAGACCTGGGAGACTCCTGTTCCTCAAGATGCTACGCAGCGACAGTAGTGCGGGGCAGGTTCAGGTCCCCGCTGTGCCCTGCTGTAGAAACAAACAAAAAAAAACTTTGAATCATTCCTGGCCCAAGTATTTGCCGTCTGCCTGTGATTTACAACCCTCCCATGCTATTCTGTATTGTGTGCTGCTGTTTGCATACAGAATTGGACAAAAGGAGACAACACAATAAGGGTAATATAGGCACTTTGGTACGGCTCCTTTGAACGTTCGAGTGATTGACTTTACAACCATGGTGTTCTTGTATTGTGGCTTTGTTTATTTGTTTTAATTTTATCCTTTGAGAGAAACTCCTCTGAACTCTGGATGATTTTAATTAAACTCTTAGGACTCTAAACAAAATATCCAGTCAAGTTTCCAGATCGTCCTTCTCCTCTCACGTGGTTCTATTTCACGGAATTATAAATATTTATCTTTTCTATGATTCTGTAGTTTTGGTGCTTACATTTTATCCTTGGTGTTCTCAGGATAATACGATTCCTAATACAATCTGCACACATTTTTGAGCTCCCTTATTTTTTTTTGCCTGCACACATTCAATTGCATTTGCAAATTCATACCCACCTCTGAAAGTCTTAGGATGTGTGGTAGCTCTGGGATAGAAAAGACTATGTTAATGCATAGTCAGGGACATAAGTTTAAGCATGTGTGTTTATGATAATAAAGTATCCCACAGACTTGGGGTCAGTGTATGGAGTCAGTGGGTCAGCTCTCAAATATATTTTCGTCTCCTCTGCTCTCTCAAACAAACTTTTAACTACAAAATAAATTAACAGGGACAGAGTTTTGTAAATCTGTAGTATCACAGAATACAGCATGTATGCATGTTAACTTCTAATACTCACAGAACCCATGCCATGAATCTTAGTTAAAATTAATGCCTAAAATTCTTAGCAGCAGTTGTGTTGTC